TTGGATCAGCACGGTGCGCCAACTGCAGCGACCATTGGGGGTGAACCAAGGGCAAAGGAAGACCTTTCTCTCTGTCTCTCTCTCTCACTGTCCACTCTGCCTATCAAAATAAATAAATAAATAAAAGAATAAAGTAAAATAAATTTAAATAATTAAATTTAAGTCTAAGTCATCATCCAGAGGGCTCTAGATACAAGAAGAACAAAAAGAACTATGATAATTTCACCTAATTTTGGGCCGGCGCTGTGGCTCACTAGGCTAATCCTCCGCCTTGCGGCGCCGGCACACCAGGTTTTAGTCCCGGTCGGGGCACCAGATTCTGTCCCGGTTGCCCCTCTTCCAGGCCAGTTCTCTGCTGTGGCCCGGGAGTGCAGTGGAGGATGGCCCAAGTGCTTGGGCCCTGCACCCCATGGGAGACCAGGATAAGTACCTGGCTCCTGCCATCGGCTCAGCGCGGTGCACTGGCCGCAGCACACTGGCCATGGCGGCCATTGGAGGGTGAAGCAACGGCAAAGGAAGACCTTTCTCTCTGTCTCTCTCTCACTGTCCACTCTGCCTGTCAAAAAAAAAAAAAAATCAGATTTAGAAGTATGACTCAGAATGAACTTTGGGGAAAATGCTTAACCTTCTGACCCTTGTTTCTTCATCTGAAAAATGAGTATGATAATGTACCCTCATCAAAGGTTTATTGTGAGGATTAAATAAAGTTTATTCCCTTTAACATGAAAACCTGATCTAGTAACTCCTAAGGAAAGGCAATATAAAAACCTGTCTTGAGCCCACACTATTGTCGACCACCTCCCAGTTCTCCATGTCTTCACACGTGACAATTTCTTGAGTCACTGGCAGTTGATGTCTCCAGTCCCTCACCTCAGAGAACTCTGGTTTGGTTTCCTCTCCTCTCCACTGGGACTCACCAAGGTCGCCAGTGACTTCCATCCTGCCAAACTCAGTCATTTTACTTGTGTCATCTTCACCTGACAGCATTCTGTACCCTCGACCTTCCTTCCTTTAAATTCTTTCTTCTCTGGGGCTGGAGCTATGGTGCAGCAGATTGAAGCCCCTACCCCACCCTCCACCCCCGCCTGCAACACTGGCATTCCATATGGGCACCGGTTTGAGTCCTGGCTGCTTCACTTCCAATCCAGTTCACTGCTAATGTGCTTGGAAAAGCACAGTAACTCTAATGTACTTGGAAAAGCAGTGGAGAATGGCCCAAGTCCTTGGTCCCATGCACCCATGTGGGAGACCCAGAAGAAGCTCCTCGCTTCAGATAAGCTCGGCTCTGGCCATTGCAGCCAGTTGGGTAATGAACCAGCTGATGAAAAAATCTTTATCTCTGTGTCACCCTCTCTCTGTAACTCTGTCATTCAAATAAATAAAATAAGTCTTTAAGAAAATTTTTTTTCTTCTCTTCCAAGTAAAAGGTGGGAGTAGACAAGCCTCTATTCTTTATCTCTGTAATTAGCTTGTTCTCCTTTGGTCTTCTAAATTTGGAGAGTCTAAGAATTTGCTCCTGGGTTCACCCTCTTCGTAGCAGCATAATCTCCTATGACATCTCTTCTGAACCATAGTTTGAGTGACACATCAATGACTTCCAAATCAGTTTCTCCAGCACCGGACTCTTCTCTGAATGAGCTCTAGATCCACATATCTACCACCTACTTACCATCTCCATTTGGATGTCAGTAACAGGCATCTCAAATAGCATGGCAAAACCAGAACTTTTTTCTTCCAGATCTCCCATCTTCTGTCCCCATCTCAACCGGTGACAACAGCACACACCAAGAAGCTCCAGCTAAAAATGTATGAGATAGTTTTGCTTTTTCTTTTTTCCTTAATCTCCCTCCATTACTTCCTCAGTGAACTCTAACCCCCAAAGCACATCCCCAGTCTGTACACATTTCTTACTGCCAGCACCATTCAGGCCATTTAGACGGACATAAATCCTCTTCGTTTGTCTTCACTGTTCTGCTGCTACCCGCTCCTCAAATCCAGGCTGAAATTTCTGAAAAACAAAATCATTCTGCTTTCCCAATAAATGTGAGCTAAATCTCCACAGACTAGCAGCTGACACAGCAAGCATTAATTGTCATAGTTCTAGAGACTGGGAAGTCTGAGACCAAGGTGCTCAGCTGATCCGTGTCTGGTGAGGGCCCCACTTCTTGGTTTGCAGATGGTTGTCTTCTTACTGTGTTCTAACATGACAGACCGCGGAGGGGGAGCAAGTTCTCAAGCTGCTGCTTCTTCTTCTTCTTCTTCTTTTTTTTTTTTTTTTGTATGTATAAAGATTTATTTATTTATTTGAAAGACAGAGTTACAGAGAGGCAGAGGCAGAGAGAGAGAGAGAGGTCTTCCACAACAGCCAAGAGCTTCTTCAGGGTCTCCCACATGGGTGCAGGGGCCCAAGGATTTGGACCATCTTCTACTGCTTTTCCGGGCCATAGCAATAGAGCTGGATTGGAAGTGGAGTAGCCAGGACTAGAACCGGCGTCCATATGGGATGCTGGCGCTTCAGGCCAGGGCTTTAACTCACTGTGCCACAGCACAAGCCCCAAGAATCCTTTCTCTTTAGGTCTTTGAGAGGAGGGAGAATTCCCTGGCAGGCCAGGAAGGAAAGGAAAGCTGTGGATATTCCCACATGGCACTTTTTTTCACCCATCATGTGTTTGGCAACCTCTAGGAAAAAATGTGTCTGAGTCAAATATAAGAGGAGATACCAAGTGAGGAGTGGAAATACGCACGAAGAGAGTGAACAACAGGTGTGTTTGCTAGGGTGATTAGAAGGAAGAGATGACTCACCAACCTGACTGTAACTTAAAATAACATCTCTACTTAATATCTTGACATATCTATTGTATGCTACAAGTCTGGGAGAATTTGCAGAGTTGCTAAATGAGTCGTTTCACAAGTACAAGGTGATTTGATATCTTTGGAGAATATGTTACTGCTTAAATTTTCAAGTGCCATGTGTGAAAGTGAATTATTGAAGAATCAATCATCAGACTTATACACAACACTGGATTTTGTTCAAAGCATATGAACAAACTTGTTGTTAGGAGTTGGAGGTAAGATGGAAGACCAAAACAAACAAAACAAAACAAATTGAAAAGATGGAAGATCCAGCGTGTTAACTGACTTATATTTTCTCCTAGGTCTAGAATATAGACTGGAAACCAAATAACCTAAAGTCAAATCTCATCTCCATCACTTTGATCTTGGGCAAAATATGTGAATTTTTATTCTTGAGTTTCTTCATCTGTAAAATGAGGATAATAATAGTAAGGAACACATAAAATTATTGTACTTGATAAACAGTAACCAGTACTATTATTACATTAGCCTTGAGATGGAGAGTTGAGAATGGTTTCCTTCTCCTATTAAACCTTTTGGTGACATAGAACTTGAGCATTATAATTAAATATGAATCAGATGAAAGAGAGAAGCAAAGGATCTGGGATTAATTTTCATGTAACTGAGTCATTACTAGCTCACATTAAATAATCACAATAAATTATATGCAAAGAGAGCACTGCAGATCTTTGGCCAGGTTTTCATGAAACCATTAGCACTTCATGTATTAAAAGTTAAAACCTGACCCATGAGTAAGGCAGTTTGAGCCTATTTTTATAACTGCTCTGGAAGTCGGCTGCTGAGATGAAATATCCTTATTCATTTGGATCTTAGTCAAGTTCAGGCAAATAGAAAGAAAGAGAGAAAGACTTCAGTTAACTGGTGCCAAGCTAAGATGGGATCAATGTCCTAATCTGCACAAAGATGTGTTCCAGAACAGATACTGAATAATATTGAACTTGTGGCAATGTTGCTATTGTCCAGTTAAGGCTATTGTCCAGTTAAGTCTGGGTGGTTTGTCTGTTCTTTTTTTTTTTTTTTTTTTTCAAGATTTATTTATTTATTTGAAGGGCAGAAATACAGAGAGAGAAGGAGAGAGAGAGAGAGCTTTTCCATCCACTGGCTTACTCCCCAACTGGCTGCAACGACTGAGGTTAGGTCAGGCTGAAGCCAGGAGCCAAGAGCTTCTTCCAGGTCTACCACGTAGACGCTGGAGCCCAGGGACTTGGGCCATCTTCTGCTGCTTTCCCAGATGCATTAACACGGAACTGGAACAGAAGTGGAGCAGCCAGGACTCGAACCAGCATCTGTATGGGATACAGGTGCTGCAGGTCATGGATTAACTTGCTGCGCCACAATGCCGGCCCCTGTCCTTTTTTTTAAGTGTTTCCCTCTTTATTATCATTTAAAATTTTTTCTTCTGTATGTGTCATAGGAAAGGCTTGAAGGCTTGACTATTCCTGCATTGCTTATCTGCAAGGTACACTAGCTTTGGGCATGTGTTCTTGGTAATGCTATTTTTCCTTTTTGAAATTCAACTCCCACAAGTATCCAGAGCACAACTACGAGAACAGAGTTGGCTAAAACCAAGTGTAACTGCAGTTATTAAGATTTTCTTACTGTATCAGTCACCAGCTAAACCAGACTCCTACTCTGTGTGTGTTATCAGTCCTGTCAAATGTTCCCTTAGGTGGACCATTATAAACACTATGGAAAAATGGGGCCAAGCACGGGTTTGGAATACTGAACTTTGCAAAGCCAAAAGAATGGAAAGACCCTCATTCACTAGCCTTTTGGTTGGGGTTTCACAGTTGCGTCAGATTCTGGGCACTTGAAACACTTTATACCAATCTGCAATAGGATAAGGCAAGGAGAGGTTCTTTGTTCAGGGTTCAAGTGCTCTCGTGACTGTCCCAAAATAACTTCCAGTGTAATACAGTAGGGCTGCACGTAGCTAAACCCACAAGACTTTGACCTGTCATCGTTGTCATCCTGATCATTCTCTCCTGTCTTCTGAGGCAAGCCAGGCACTTGAATAAAATTTTCCGTCAACACTTGGAGTTGCATAAACCCCTTATTTTTGTTTTTCCAAATCCACTGGGAGTCTCCCTGTCAGTTATAGAGAAAAGTACATAAGCTGGACTTACCAAGTACTTCTCTTCCAGATAAGTTTTCCAAGTGGCTTAAACTCTTCACTTGGATTCGTAACAGCTCAAGCCAATCTTCCCAGTTGGTTTTCTTTCAACCAAGGATCTTATTTTTGTAGTTTATCAGATTTCACAATAATAATATTATTTTCAACCAGGCTTTTACACAAAAGGCCACGTGAGCTGCTGTTCAGTGAGTATTTGCTCCGTCAGCCAAGTTATTGTGCTGAGTTGAATATTAAAGAAATCTGATCGTTTCCTTGGTCTCTATTTTGGAAGATACTGGAGCTTTATTCTTGGTGGCAACCTGTAAACAGTATTTAAACAAGGCTAACAAAGAGAACGGGCTGGAATGGGAAGAGAAAATAACAAATGTTTTGTTCTAAATTATATCAAGAGGCAGCATGGGAAATGAAAAAGAGGACATTTCTTTAAAATTGGGCAGTTTCTATAGTTATTGTAACAATGCAGAAAAGCACCACACAAAATACCTGTGTCCAAAATAGTATGAAATGGACATAGGAAGGAAGGAAATGAATCAACAACACTGAATGCTTTGGTAATGGAACTTCAAGTGATTTATTTTTCCTTTTCCATGTTGTATGGGATTTTAACATTTCTATAGCCTTCCAATATCTTCTCAGTATCCACATGATATTATATGACTTTTGCCATCTCTTGCAAGTGTTCTTTATTGAATAAATTCCTGGAAGAGGAAGCAACTATATAAGCTCACATTAAAAAATTTTTTAAGAATGTAGGAAATTTAAATAATGAAATATTAAGTAGATAAAACTTTCCAAATTTTTCATTTTCTTCTTAAAATTATTTTATTAATTTGCATGTATCCTGACTACAAGTAATACATGATATGAAAAATTAAAACTTGCTACTTTAAATGAATAGCTGTCTATATTATTACTGTAATTCATTAGCAAAACAAGATCATGGTATAATATTGCTCTGCAACTTACTTATTTCCCTTGCCATATCTTGAACATATTACTCCCTGTCAATATGTACTTCAATTGTTTTGATGACCACTATCTCCTTTGTTTGTGCCATCTCTTTGTGCATCAGATATAGATAGATAGATAGATAAATAGATAGATAGATTTAGATATATAGATGATAGATAATATTTAATCAGCTTCTGGTTATGAATCTTAGGCTTGCATTCTTAGTAACCACATAGTGAACATCCTTTTATATAATCTTTACCACTTTGTGCATGAAGTTTTGTAGAATAAATTTTAGAAATGGAAAAGACAGTTTCCAAATCAGGCTGTGAAATACGTAGACCATATTTCCAATTTATCATGACCACAACATGGTGATTTGCATACTGTACAATCAGCTCCTGAAGACCGCGTTGCCTGAAAAAGACAGTGAATTGTATTGGAAAACTGGAAAATGTCTGACTTATTTTCAGTTTCTTCACCAGTAGATGGCACTTCACCTTCCTTTATGGTTGACTAAAATCCCCCTTAACTTTAATGCATTCCCACCGTGTCACTGAGCCTGCACTAAATCAGCAATGACCGCATCACGTACAAATGCTCCTGTCTCATTAATCTTATCCCATGTTTGTATTGTTCTGGTTCCAGGACTCTGAGACTTTAAGCCTGAGGCTCTAACTTGAGAAGGAAGAGTTTATTTTGGGATGAAGAATCTTCCCCCATAGAAAGGCCTCTCAACCAGTGTCTCTTTCTCTTTAGAAACTGGGAAATTCTGGAGGAGGAAACTGCTTTTCTGAATCTGCAGAATTGCTTCTTTCTCTCAGAAAATAACAGACCTAAAGGTTGGTCAGGTTTACCCAGTTTATAGAAAGGAAGACAAGGTTGCTGGGACCTTAAAGGGTCATGTTGAGAGTGATCTCAGCTGTGCTTAAGAACATGACTCTATAAATCTCCTTAAGTACGTAAAATTGATAGGGGGAATATATGTGAAGTGTTCATTTCACCAAACCTATAAATACACACATTTAGAATGGACAAAGAGGAAGAAAGGAACAGCAAACTATAATATTTAAAAATGTGATGACACATCATTTTGCTTTCTGTTGCAACAACAGCCTGTCCGCTGGTATCAGGTTTCTTAAAAAAAAAATTCAGAAAAGTTCAATGTAAGAGTTTACTATTTTATTTTATTAAAAAAATTGAATACAAGTAAATGTAAAATTTTTCCTAGAAAATCAAGATTTGCCTTTTCTATAAAGATGGAAATGACAGAGATCTTTTCTTTCTTAAAGAACAACTCAAGCACATCATATTTTTCTCAGAGTAGGAAAGAAAGATGAGCCTGTGGATTTAGTAGAAAGGGCTACTGCATGCATCACTTAGCACTGTGAAAATTTTCTCTGGATGGTCTGGGGGAAGATTATATGTTTGATACACAAGGTATGGTTGGCCTGCAAAACAAAACAAAACAAACAAAAAAAAACAACAACAACAAAAAAATGTCCAGATCAGAGCTGCCACTGTGGTGTAGCTGGTAAAGCCACCACCTGCAGTGCCTGCATCCCATATGGGCCACCAGTTTAAGACCAGGCCACTCAGTGAAAGATGGCCCAAGTTCTTGGGCCCCTATACCCACATGGAAGCATGGAAGACCTGGAAGAAGCTCCTGACTCCTGGCTTCAGATTGACCCAGCTTCTGCCATTGTGGCCATTTGGTGAGTGACCCAGAGGTTGGAAGGTCTCTGTCTCTCCCTCTCTCTGTAACCCTGCCTTTCAAATACACAAATAAATATTAAAGAAAAAAAAAAAAAAGCTCAAGGAAAATGGAATTAAAGATAAGTTTGTCAAAAAAAAAAAAAGTCTAGATCTTTTTCCTGTCTCCTCCTTTCTCTTTAAATTCAGAGAACTTAGTGTTAGGGTCTTTCATAACATAGCATTTCATTAACAAGGGCAGTTAAGATGACACTTGGGATGCCTACAGCCTCTATCTGAGTGCCTGGGTTCAATTCCTAGCTCCACTCCAATTCCCCCTTCCTGCTAATGTGCACCCTGGGAGGCAGCAGATGATAGCTCAAGTACTTGAGTCCCTGCCACCTGTGTGTAAGACCTGGACTGAGGTCTGGGCTCCTGGCTTTGGCTTGACCTAGGCCCAGCTGTTGCTGGCCTTTGGGGAGCAAACCAGCAAATAGAAGTGCATGCTGTCTCTCTTCCTAACTTTCAAGTAAAATGAAAATTTAGAAAAATTTTAAAAGAATATTTTAAAAAGTATTTTATAAACAATTAGGTGATATATGGACCAATGAAATTAAAAATATTTTGTTTTACTCTAATTTTGCTGAACACATGATTAGGTTGACTCCTTCTCCTAGAATGTCATGATATAGATATGGGGGACAAAAAGTAAGTGGTAACTCTTCTTGTAAAAGTTATATAACGTTGGGGCTGGCCAGCATTATAACGTAGCATGTAAAGCCGCCTTCTGCAGCCCTGCATCCTATATGGGCAACAGTTCCGGCTGCTCCACTTCTGATCCAGTTCCCTCCTAATGCATCTGGGAAAGCAGCAGAAAATAGCCCAAGTGCTTGGGCCTCTTCACCCACATGGGAGACCCATGAGAAACTCCTGGCTCCTGGCTTCAGTCGGCCCAGCTCCAGCTGCTGTGGGATCTGAGGAGTAAACCAGTGGATGGAAGACCTCTCTCTCTTTCTCTGTACCTGTGCCTTTCAAATAAAATAAATAAATCTTTTTAAAAAGTTATATAATGTTGATTTCTTTGCTCCAGGATTTATTCAGACGTTTTCTTGTATTTTAGCTACAACATTGTGTTTTTTTAAAAAGTCTTCTCATACACTCTAAATCTGATACAGACCAAAATTTCTTTATTTTTTATTTATTTTTTTAATTTTTTTGACAGGCAGAGTGGACAGTGAGAGAGAGACAGAGAGAAAGGTCTTCCTTTGCCGTTGCTTCACCCTCCAATGGCTGCCATGGCCAACGCACCGCGCTGATCCAATGGCAGGAGCCAGGTGCTTCTCCTGGTCTCCTATGGGGTGCAGGGCACAAGTACTTGGACCATCCTCCACTGCACTCCCTGGCCACAGCAGAGAGCTGGCCTGGAAGAGGGGCAACCGGGACAGAATCCGGCGCCCCGACCGGGACTAGAACCCGGTGTGCCGGCGCTGCAAGGCAGAGGATTAGCCTAGTGAGCCGCGGCGCCGGCCAACAGACCAAAATTTCATCTTAGCTTTTACTTGAAATTTTGGAGGAAAGATATATGATGACTTTACTGGAAAATGAGGAAGAAGATGTATTTTCATATGATTTTTGAACAGAATATGGTCCTTAAAATCTGATTTCTGAGATCTGTGGTTACAGCCCTGGGTGCACATGTTTATCACCTGGGGAGACATTAGCAAAAAAATACTGACGCTGATTCCAGCTCTACCACTGCTAAATCAGAATAGACTTGGGCAAGACAGTGAAGCCTCAACATGGGTATTGTCTGTTCTGCTCTGCTTTGTTACAACAAAATATTCAAGTCCAGGTCCCTTATAAAGAAAAGAAGTTTATTAAGCTCACAATGTAAGATTGGACAGCCACATCCGGCGAAGGCCTCATGCTGTGTCCTCACGTGACACTTGGTAGAAGGTGCAAGAAGTGGCCAATGGCGCACGCAGAAGGGAGAGGTCAAGTGGCTGAAGTAGGAGGTGAGAGAACCAGCTGGGAAAGCCAAAGATAGTATAAAATAGCCCACTTTTGGAGCCCTGCCTCTCCCCACTTCTGTGATACCTGGGCACCCCCAATGACCTAATCAACTTATCTCTTAACAGTGCCACCCTCTCTGAACACTGCTACATCGAGGACCAAGGGTTTGCATGTGAACACTTGGCAGCAAACCATAACTGATATTTCTTAAAATTCCCTAGGAGATGCCACTGTGTAACCAGGTTGCAAACCACTTGCCTAACTCAAAAAGAAATCTTTCATCTCATATTTCCTGAGCAACTTCCAAGCATCTGGTTAAAACTGGAAGCGTTTTCTCTCCCTTCCTCAGATAGGGGCAATTTAACTGTGTTAAGTGATGTAACCAAGACAGCTGGGGCAGAGAAGAGTCTGATTCATGCAAAGATTTGAACATATCCACAGAAAGTGTTTAAAGAAAGTAAACATTTCTCACTGAAGATGCATCCCAGA